AATTTCTAGATCTTCTTCCGATGCAGAATCATGGTTGGCCATTTTGAATTAAATAAATAACAATTTCTCGCTTTTTTCTCCACACGTCAGTCTCGTGAGTTGCGTGGCTTCCACGATTTTAAATATCCACCGCTGTACCGGTGAATACGAGGTGGGCGCTGGTCAAAAGGACTGCAGAAATTAATATCCACCGCTCTACCGGTGAATACGATGTGGGCGCTGGTCAAAAGGACGGCAGAAACTAATATCTACGAGTAGATGTTGGAATACGACGATATATTTCATCCTCACGTGGGCAAAATGGAGCATTTTAATTGGACGTTTTGAATTTGAGGTATAATATTTTATAATAGATGTTTCATGAGACCGGTGTCCTTAGGAGATATAGCCCCCTCCCCATCGGAAATTTAGCGCCCTCGAAAACATAGTTAGTTTATCGCTATAAGCTCGGAAATCGTGAAACTTCTTCTAAAACGAGGATCCTAAATGTGTTTGTCAGTATTTATAGTTAATTTGCATAATTAATTATTTGTGTCGAAATTCTTCATTGCGGCCAAGAGCTAAAAGTTTGAAGGAAAGCGTAGTAATAATGTGCTGGTGCAGTCATGCCAGACACACCACACATGGGTATCTGTAGAGGACAACGTTAATGCATAATGACTTAGATTTAAGCTAAGAACACGAAACGATATGTAGAGATAGGAATTTCTAAGATAATACAAGTTATTTAGATCTATAAATTCAGTCACATAGTATAAAATTAGTCAGAATAACAACCGCACTTTAGCAAACGATTGTCTAATTGTTAATTTGAATGCGTCTTAAGTATTAGTAAAAATCGTATCATTTGAAGTATTATAAACTCTTTTCGTTTCCATGGCTTAATGATACAGCCATTATTTACTAACGTTGTCTTCTACAAAGCTGGTCAAAACCAAACGCGAAAAGTACGCTAAACTTTTAGCTCTTGGCCTAATTCTCATCAGTATTGCAATTCGATGCGGAGAAATTTGACACAAAAAAATTACGCAAAATAACTATAAATGTTGAAAAAATTTCTAGAAAATTGGTTTTAGTAGAAGCTTCACGATTTCCGAGCCTAAAGGGGGGCCAAATTTCCGGGGAAATTTAGCCCGGCAGGGACCAAATTTTCGGGGGGAGGGGGCAAATTTCCTGTGACACCGGGACGAAAAATTGCTCGGACCGTTCTGAAGTCACCCGCTCACTGGACCGAACCGACTATATTTGGAGCGGGATGTATGTAAACACAAATACATTTCAGACCGATCTTGGCTGTGCTGTTGGCTTCGGAACGATGCATGCTCACAGAAGCATTGTAAAAAGGAAAATGGTGGGCAAGGGAATAAATTGTTTTATTCATATCGGTCTCATGTGAACATACCGAATATTTCGATGTTCATCCCGGTCTAATGAATCAATGTTATTGCCTATTGGCATGAACAGAATAGGAAGGTATAGCAGAAGTGTAACTCAAGCAAGTATTTGTCCGCGTTTTTACAAGCAATTCTTCATCAATCACGCCATCCTGGCTAGTACAACCGGCAGTACTTTGTACCTACCAAAACCTGATAAAAACTTCCGGTTGTACTAGCCAGGATGGCGTGAGCGAGTTAAAATTTTCGTGGACGTAAAACAATAAAGGAACCGACTCAGGTTACACTTCTGCTGTACCTTCCTATTCTGTGCTATTGGTGTGTTCGTTTGAAAGAAGACCAGATTTGATGACAGTTGCAACAATCGCTCGCATTTCAACGCCAACTGTCATCAACTCTCAAGCACTCATCAACTTAACAACTTTGAGGTAGTTGGACGAGAATCGACCAGAGTTTTTGCCACGCGTGCGGTAACTATCAACTGTCATGCAACTCTGTTTCTCGTTTGACCAGGAAATGAGAATGAAAATTCATAGACCAGGGATTTATTTCAGTATAACCTCATGCAAACTACCATACCTTGTGTGAATGAAGGGGCCAAGACAAGAAGGCAGGCCAAAATAAAGCTTATTCTAAATATCTTCCTTTTTTGGCTTTTTGGAATCTGTAGTTAAAAAATTCAATACGTTTATGTATATAAAGTCATGCATTAATTAGCAAATATAATATTTCAAATAGTCTTCATATTTCTCATATATTTTAAATTTTGTCTCCTCGCGGGGCAGAAATTTGATCTGAATTTCTGTCCGCGAATTTTCAAGAAAATACTACAACTTGACCAATCTTAAGCCTGGTTTCCATATGGTCGTAAAAATACAGTCACGATCTTTCTCAACGGCCAGTTTATAATAGTTTATATCTGTAAACCACATATAAATCATAAGTATTCTCTAGTTCTAATCACTCCGCGTATTTTCAGTTCTAAAATGTTGTATTTCGGCTGATGAGAAAGATCGCGACTCAATCTTTAGTACGAGTCTTACGACCATATGGAAACTGACCAGGCTTTATAGAAATTCTATTTTTGATCAAATTAATGCATTCATTTCAACTTAAGTGTACCGAGTCTGAGCTCAAGCTTCACACACAAGAACACAATTTAGTACTGTAAACACTATAGAGGCCCACCAAGGGTGTAACCCAGGTCGCTTGTCATTCATTTTGTAGCTGCTTTGTCGCATGTTTTATTGTAATAAATGTCGCTGTCACATTTGACCCATAACACAACTCGCAATTTGTCGCTTTTTTTTAGCAAGAAGCTATCGTGTGTCGCTCTTTTTTAGTTAGTCTGTCGCCTCTTTTTAAGGAATGTCGCCTGTCGGTCATAACCCCTTGGAGGGCCTCAATATAAGATGACAAAAAGTCTATTAAATGATCCTCTATACACGCGTAAGAACGAACAACCCGTTCCCGGTCGATATAGACAGGCTTGAACAAGATTGTGCTGCACCTGCTGGTTGTGTTGTAACAACATTGTTCACAACTTGTTCTTAGGGGGCAGCACAACCTTGTTCAAGCCTGTCAATACCAACCACAAACAGATTGTTCGTTTTTACGCGTGTAGAATTGCTCATCTGTACACATCTTATAAATTACCTGCATGTCTACTGAAAGATGGTAAACATTAACAGAACCACTATCGGAACACACAAAACAGCATCCAATTCAAATAATCTGATAACGGTGCTTCTGAGTTGGCGACTAAGTCATGCCATAGCCTATCAGTTCGAAAGGGAGATGGCTGTGAAACTCATTAGAATGACAAACACTGACAATATAACAAGGGTTGTCAGATTGCTGAATAAATAAGCCGGAAACTAAATGGCACAACGCACAAACAGTCACGTTCCTAAGCTATATTTGTTTTCGG